AAAGAATATCTTCATGCTCCCGAGACAACATACAGAACACATAGTGTAAACCAAGAATTCTATATCCAACACACCTAATTTTTAAGAATAAGGATGAAATGAAAGCATTTGCATCGAAACAAAAACTAAAATAGCTTACTGTAACTAGACTACACTAAATAAACATCTAAAGAATATACTTTGGGGCAAAGGAGAAATTTCCAAAGAGAGAGGGTCTGACATGCAAGGAAGAATAATAAGGGAAAATACCAAATGTGGGTAAAGACAAACATTGACTATAAACAACAGTGTATAGTTTATCGTATAATACCTAGTCTGTGCTGTGAAATTAGGAGTACATATAAATAAAATATTGGAACCCAGTATTTAAGTCAATAGGGAATGAGGAAGAGCAATCTAACATCCTAGTTTTATTCGGGAAAATGTTTAGGACATCAGTGTTAGACCTACATTCTCCGGTGTATTACCTGTTACCCACATGTGGTCATTTAAACTTAATTTAACATTAACTTTTAAAAACATAGAATTCGGTTTCTCAGTTGCACTCACCATGTTTGAAATGCTCCATAGCCATGCGTGACCAGTGGCTCCCTTATTGGACGGCACTGATCATCTCAGGAAGGTCCATTGGTCAGTGCTGCTTCAGACAGGAAGTAAAATATCCATGTTACGATTTCTCATGTAACAACTGAAGCCGAGACACTAAACCAGGGGTTTCACTGCCTGCCTAGAAGGTCATTAGGAAGTGTTTGAGATTATTTGGGGTTCTCACAGCCACTGGCTTAGCCAGGTGACAATGAACCTAACCATTCTGCAGTACAAGGTTCAGCTCCACACCAGGGGAATGCTCCCACCCAAACCTAGTGATACAATAGAAGAGGCCTCACTGGAAATAAAATAGGTCATTGGATGATCCAGTTTACCAGAAACACATAATTTCAAATGTGTATGCGTCTAGTCCTAGGGCTTCGTGTATATAAGAACGAGTGGACACAATTACGAAAAGAAATCAACAAATTCATTGCGGTGGAAAACTCTGAATATGACTACCAGTAATTGATCAAGTAATTTTAAAAAGTAATAATAGAGAATATTGGATGACATGGACAAATGGAAAGATAACCCATGCTCATGGATTGGAAGAATCAATATTGTTAACATGTCCATACTACCCAAAGCAACTTACACATTTAATGCAGTCCCCACAAAAATGCCAACTATATTTTTCACAGAGCTAGACCAAATAATACTAAAATTTGTATGGAACCTCAAAAGACCCCAGATAGCCAAAGCAGCCTTCAGAAAGAAGAACAAAGCCAGGGGCATTACAATTCCAGATTTCAAGATATATTACAAATTTGTGGTGATCAAAACAGTATGGTACCGACACAAAAATAGACACACAGATCAGTGGAACTGGATAGAGAGCTCAGAAGTGAACCCAAGCTTGTATGGTCAATTAATCTACAACAGTGGAGGCAAGAATATACAATAGGGTAGCAGTCTCTTCCACAAATAGTGCTGAGAAAACTGGAGAGCTTCATGCAGAAGAATGAAACTGGACCATTTGATTACACCATAAAAAGTCAACTGAAAATGTGATTAAAGACCTAAATGTGAGACCTGAAACCATAAAACTCTTACAAGGAAGCATAGGCAGTAATTTCTTTGATCAGCCAAAGAAACATTTTTCTAAATAGGTTTCCTCAGGCAAGAAAAACAAAACCAAAATTAAATTCTGGGGTTTACACCAAAATAAAAAGCTTTTGCACAGCAAAGGAAACCACCAACAAAACAAAAAGGCAGTTTACTGAATAAGAAAAGATATTTTTAAATGATATAGCTGATAAGGGGTGAGTATTCAAAATATGTAAGGAACTTGTCTACAAGTCAATACCAATACCAACCCCCCCCAAATAATCCAATTAAAATAGGCAAAGGACCTGAATAGACATTTTTTCAAAGAAGACAAATGGCCAACAGACACATGAAAAGATGTTCAACATCACTAATCATCAGGGAAATGCAGATCAAACCTACAAGGAGATATCCTGACACAGTGGCTAAAATCAAGAAGACCAGAAGTATGTGTTGGTGAGGATGTGGAGAATGCAAACTGGTACAGCCACTGTGGAAAACAGTATGAAGGCTCCTCAAAAATGAAAAATGGGATTACCATATGATCCAATAATTCCAATACTGAGTATTTACCCAAAGAAAACAGAAACACAAATTTGAAAAGATGTATCCACCTGTATGTTTATTGCAGCATTATGTACGATAGCCAAGATACGGAAGTAGCCCATTGTCCAACAGTAGATGAATGGACACACACACACACACACACACACACACACACACACACACACAGTGAAATATTACTCGACAACAAAAAAGGAATGAGATATTGCCATTTGCAGTCAGCGCAGAGCCCACTTTGGATCCTCTGTCCCTGTCTCTCTCCGCCCCTCCACATCTTGTGCGTGCTCTCTTTCTCTCTAAAATAAACATTAAAAAAATCTTTAAAAAATGAATAACCATTAAAAGAAAGTCTAAAACCGTAAAATATGTGTCGTGTTTCTGAGTAGAAGAGACGGGATCCCATGATGCCAGTTTTTCCAAAACTCATCTATTCTTGGACACAATTCAGTGGAAATTCCCAACAGATTTTTAACAGACCTTGACAAAGCTAATTCTGAGTATATGGAAAAGCAGTGCTCGAAATAGCTCATATGCTTACGAAGAGCAAGATGGTTGGTAGTCTTGCTTAACAATATATTAGGACGTATCATAATTAGGACAGTGAGCAGAGGTAGACAAACCAATGCAACAGAGAGAGGGAAGACTAGCCAAGAAAAGATGCACTGTTCAGTACCCACATTCGGTGAGTCCCTGGGCTTGTAACACTTTTTTTATGTTTTTAGAGATGTCCCAAGAGGCGTGCTAGGTCCTGACGGTAAAGGGTAGGAGTTCGCGGTTGCCGTCAGGTGCAAGTTGTACGTCTGGAGTCTGGTGCCTCTAATTCTCCATGAACTTCTAAAGTTACACGCAAAATTTTATACTATTCTGAGTTGAGTGTTCATCAGATTCTCAAAGGGGTTCTTTCACACCCAAGTGGCTAAAAGGTACTGCATTCTTGACCATTTTATGACGCATTTAATTTCTGAGATCCCCACCAGATGCTAGGTGTTACTAAAGAATGTCATGAAACACAGCTTGGGGTGTAAAGGCCATAAAGACAGTAAGATCAAGAAGGTCACCTCAAAGAGGTAATGCTTGAACCAAGCTGAATGTGGAGGAGTATAGATTCTTATCGGAAGGGCTGGACTGCTATGCAGTCTGGACCGGAGTGTGTTTCTTTTCATGCCAACGAGGAAAATAATCTGTCTTACACGATCTTATTTGCATTGCTTGTAGCTTTCTCAGAGTAATGTGCAAAACCAGTAATTAGAGTTATAATAGGGGCAGAGTGCTGTCAAAATAGGAGTTGCTTTTGGAAACTTCTCACGTGGCTGCCTTCCCCTCCTCCACCTCTGTGCTTCACAAGATCCTGCCGTTCTGCTTCCCAGCCTGTAGCAGAACGAGAGATGTCACTAGTGGGATTGGGCTTGGATGTGAATATGTGAGTGGACAGAGCCTGTACCCATCCGTCCAGGATAATGCCACTTTGTCCTTGTTCACACCAGAATAGTAATGGCATCACGCTGGCTTCCAGAAACTGAGATCTTATCGTTAACAGTAGTATCTTTGGAAACAGATTCATAATATGATCTGTGATAGACTAACTTTATAAAAAACTTTTTTTAATATTTATTTTTGAGAGAGACAGAGACAGAGTGTGAGCAGGGGAGGGGCAGAGAGAGAGGGAGACACGGAATCCGAAGCAGGCTCTAGGCTCTGAGCTGTCAGCACAGAGCCCAATGTGGGGCTCGAACTCACAGACCACAAGATCGTGACCTGAGCTCAACCGACTGAGCCACACAGGCACCCTGACGAAACTTTCACTGCACGCTGGGCATTATACTACGTACTTTACGTGTGTAATGTCCTTTTATCTTCAATGATCTTGGAAGGCAAGGACTTTTTTATTTGCCATTTTATACACGAGCAAAGTAAAATTAGGAAAGCCGTAACAGCCCGGTATCACTCAGCTACAGTTCAGATTTAGATCTGACACAAATACTGGTGCCATTTTCACACACTACAAGCCGTCTCGTCCATGTCAGGCAAGTTATTTAACTTTCTCTAGCTCACATTCTTCAACTACAAAATGGTGATCGTGTGAACCCCTACCCCGCCCCCCATCGTCACAGATGTCGGGAGGATAAAATGTGGAGAAAGATTTGACAAACTCTAGAGTGCTCCTTAAGCATGTTTTGAGTGTTGTTTGTAAAGTGCCCCGTAAATGTTTGTGTCCGTCATCCATGTTGTTTCTTGTTGTTGTAACAATTACAGTTTGACTCAGCACTAAAACTTTTCCTTTAAAAGAATAAATCTGTGGAATTCTTTTTTTTTTCTTTTTTTTTTTTTTGCTACTGATGTTTTGATAGAGCTCTTGACTGGTTCGCCCTGATTTGGGGTTTCTGTGATTTACAAAATCACGCAAGAGGTCAAGTTCGATATAGTCAAAGGGCATCTGTTGCTTTATTTTCTAGCAGCAGGGGGAACTAGCTGGTGTGGTAAGGTGGCGAGTAAAGGCTCGACATGTGTCCTTTGACATCTTTTCACGAATGCCTGGCGTCAAGTGCACCTGGCACAGCCGGCCACTTCCGATGCCGGCCTGCCGAGTATTTTATTTAAAGTGATTACCTGAGATCAGTGCTCATCAATGGTCACAGGTCACCCCGGGGCGGCTCAGAATCCTTAATCGTGCCCCCCGCTCCCTCTTGGGCCCTGCCATCCAAGGGCTCAGCGTCATGCTATAACCGCCTTTCAGCCTTATGGCAGGTGCGTCCTGTGGCCCGCCATCACCTCTCCCCTGCGCTCGTGCCACACTGCAGGTGCTGCTCGAGTCCATGGTCGACGCTGCCGAGGATCTGTGTCCCAACGTGATGAAGAAAGCCCACATCCGACAAGACTTGATTCATGCCAGCACTGAAAAGATCTCCATCCCACGTACCTTTGTTAAAAATGTCCTGTTGGAGCAGTCTGGAATTGACATCCTTAACAAAATTAGGTAGGTTTACGATGTTAATAAACCGAGGCTCTGTGGTTTCCGTGAATGCCGTGGGAGCAGCCGCGAAGACCGTTACTGTTGGCTGTCTCCGTATATAACGCGTGAGGCATGTCTGATAGGCGCCGACTGTATATAAATAGAGCTGTGCATAAATGCATAGGTTTACACATTTCCACAAGAACGCGTGCGTTACTAAAGAGCATACAGCTAACTGCTCTTTTTAAGGGTTTTATTTCACGTAGAAACTCAGGTGGTTCCCAGTCTGAGTGATGCTCCACGAGTTCTCATTGTGTCTCAGTTGGGGAATCAGTGGACGCAAAACCAAATCCAGGTTCAGCAATATTTGAACTTCCCCATTTTTTTCCATTTTAACCATTTCTTATTGATAAGAGTATTTAGATGTAGCAAAAAAAAAATTTTTAAATTAAAAAAAAATTTTAAAAAACCCAGCTCTCCTCTGAAGAATTAGGAGTTGTGTCAACACATGGTGAATGATGCGTAACTGAATGACAGCCTTTGAGAAAAAGAATTAAAAGAAGCCAAAAATGTTACACAATCTAGATACTGAAGCTCGATCTTGGGACTTTGAGGGTCGAGGATTTTTGCAGTAATGGGACAGTCTCGGTCTAAGACGCAGCCGTGTGTGTGTTGGGGTTTCTAAAAATAAAAGATTCTAGTGCCGACTCAGCTGAATGATACAGTTTGAAGGAACTGAGAAATGAAAAGACATGTAGAGGATTTACAGGACCCCGCAGATTAGTGATTTTATCAACTCTAGCTAGCCCTTACGAGATATGCTTTCATATTTCTTGAACCTAGAGTTTTGGAATTTTTGTTGAGGCCCCTTATGTACGAAGAAGGAAAAATGTATTGGCCGCCATTCTTCCGTCATAATGGGTTGAACTGCCAATGGACTGTACTCTGATGCCTTTATTGTACCAAATTCTGTCAAATATGGTCACTTCTTTTGAAAAGGGGCAGATTCTGAAAAGTGAACAGCAGTATAGAATGCTTTACATCAGTGACTCGCCTCCGTGTTCATTAAGTCCCTGCCTGGCTTTTTATAACGTATCGCCCTGAGCACTGGTGGGATGAAAATTGCACATCTACACCTGTGTAGACATTCAGGTACATCTGTGCAATGGGGCTTAAGTGGAATCATTCCCCCTACAAAGTTTGCAGTTTGGAAGTCCAATAAGGAAGTATACATATCCAGTAACAAAATGATAGAACCATCCTGAGACTTTTTTTTTTTTTAAGTGCATTGTATTTAAAGGATCATTTTTGGTGCTACAACTTGAGACAGATAAACCACCCCTCCCCAGTTCAGGGTGGGGTGGAGAGAACCGGAGATAGACTACTGATTCTATAGTTTTATGAGGGAGTAAATTTTCCAAACATGGCTGAAAAAAGGAAAGGAAATGCTTGTTATAATGAGATTCCCAGCCCCCCAGCTCCTCCCCCAGAGGTTTGGGTGGGACCCAGTAATCTGTATTTTTAATGAGACCCAGGTGAATTTTGTCAGTGAACACCTCTGGGGAATAATAAAGTATTAGATAAACCAAGTAGCTACTGGGACCTTGTTTCGGAGACAGGAATTAATGAAACGTCCTTTTATCTTCAGCCTAGGAAAAATTTTAATGGAGGCATCAAAGAGTTAGTGCCTCCGTTTTCCCACCCTGCCATCCGAAATCTTCCTTGGCAGAAAACTCCCAATGCCAATTACTGCCTTTAGGTTAGAAAGGTTTTTCCCTGTTACACAAATATACTTTCAACCTTAGCTTTGTGATTAAAAAATTTTATTTTGATAACTCCTTGCCCTGCTGTCAAAACTTTACAATTCTTGACTTCAAGAGCAGACGGAACTCATGAGTCGATGTGGGAGTGTGGGTATGTATCTCTTTAGCACATTCACCTTGAAATGTATTGTGCATTTATGTACATTTGTGCGTATGTGCATTTAGGTAGGACTAGTCAGACTGAAGACACAGTAACGGAGTTTGAATTCTTGGGAATACCACATAGGTAAAATTCTGACTAAAATACCAGCTATCCGACTGACAGCTTGGTGGCCGATTTATTAGTGAAAACTCTAAAATTAACTAGTGTGTTACTTTCTGTTGTCTGGACTCCTGCGTAAGGTCAGGCAAGAGACACTAAAACTGAACATTATGGTAACTTCTGTTCATCAAAGGCAAGAGAACAGTGAGTTTATAATAGTTTGAAGGCAAAAGCAGTTCAATGTGGTACCATTTGGTTGGCAAAAAGTTTTTTTTCAAGGTGGGGGAAATG